CGACCCCAGCCGGTGCCCCCTCGGCCGGCCCGGCTCTGCTCACTGCGGCCGCGATCCCTTCCCGCCTGCACCGAGCTGGCTCCCGTGACTGGTGACCCCAGTTCCTCTCTCACATCCTGTCTGGATACTGCTCCCCGACTCCAGCTCCGGGAACAGGCAACCCCACCCCCCAGCTGCAGGGCACACCCCAGGCCCTGGGCCCAGACTCTGAGTTTTTGTCTCTGGCTGTCTTGGAACTTTTGTCCTTGTGTGTTTTTTTTGTTTGTTTCTCTTTCCGTTGCTCCCAGTTGTTTTCATTTTGAGGGCGTGAGCCAGACCGAAATTCCATGAGCAAGCTGAGAGCGGGCCCACGCTACTGGCGCCCCAGCCTCGTCCCCGTGGGTCCCTTCTTACCTCATTTACCCCCAGGCCTCCACTAGGTCCCTACCCCGGCTGTCTGCAGACACTTGGTGCAGCATTTCCTCCTCGGAACCCCTCCCCCAAGAGGCCCTTAAAGTGCCCCTGCACTTCGTTTTTGTTTTGTTTTTAAGAACAATATTTTTGTTTTAGAACAATGTTTTATTAGTAAAATAAAAACTTTGTAAAAAGGCATTACAGATCAAAAGCTCTTTTTACATTTATTGATTCAAGGTCCAGTTATTGCATCAAACACTAAATGGGCACGGCACATGCAAATCGAAACGGACACTTAGATTCCACTTCCACCAAATGATTCCATTAATGCAAAAAAAGAGTGGGGCTGGCCCCGGATATCATCTGGTTAGAGTGTCATCCCTATAGCAAAGGTTGCGGGTTTGATCCCTGGTCAGGGCACATCCAAGAATCAACCAATGGCCCAGGCGGGTTTGGCTCAGTGGTTAGAGCATGGGCGCTTGGACTGAAGGGTCTCAGGTTTGATTCCTGCCAAGGGCACCTACCTCAGTTGCAGGTTTGATCCCCAGCCCCTGCCCGGGCACATGCAGGAGGCAACCAATCCATGTGCTTTCCCCCCCTTCCTCCCTTCTACTTTCTCTGAAAAGCAATGGAAAAAATATCCTCGAGTGAAAATAAAATAAATAAATAATGCTTTTGTTGTTGTTGTTAATCCTCACGCAAGGACGTTTTTTCCATTGATTTTTAGAGAGAGTGGAAGGGAGAGAGGGAGGGGGAGAAAGAAAGAGAGAGAGAGAGAAACATCGATGTGAGAGAGACACATCGATTGGTTGCCTCCCACACTCGCCCCACCTGGGGCTGGGGATCAAACCTGTAACCCAGGTACATGCCCCTGACCGGGATCGAAACCAAGACCCTCAGGTGCAAGAGCTGACACTCCAACCACAGAGACACC